AATAAATAAATAAGATTTTTACTAAAAATATTTTCTAACTTCAATTGGAATCCAATGGTCTTCTACTAAATAAAAAAAAGCCATGATTATTACCATGATACTACCAAGAAAACTACATAGTATTCATGGTGATAATCATAGCTTTTTATTACAAGAAGATAAATAAATTATACACCTCTTTTGTAAGAAATCCTTGAAAAACAAATACATAGTACTTAACAAAGCTGTTAGGCACTTTGTTTTGTTTCGTCAGCTCCATTTAAAACTTTAAAAACTCGTGCTTTGATTGTTCGCCTACATTTTTGTTCAGTAGCCTATGTATTGTTTAAACTTGGTCCTTATTTCCCACGTGAACAAGAGATTAGACCTCTTTGTTATTAAATTGGAAGCTTTAAGTACATGTCCATTTCCTATCTATCCATATTAGGTAGGTATTTACTTTGTTAAAAACCTTGTGGTATTAATTTGATATAAAGGAATTAAATACTTTACTAATACTATAAAATTTACTAAGCACTTCTCATTAACACGGATAATTCCAAGTGAATCTAAATTACGATAAGCAAATCGAGAAATCAGTTTGTGAAATGAGGTTCTTTTACTAATTAGACAATTTATAGGTCGGCGGTTATTACTAATATAAGAGTTAATTCAAGAAAATAACTACTTTTTCTTTACTGAGCCTTAACAACTGATTTTGACTTTGACTTTTTCATCAATTAATAAAGCAATGTGCTGAAAACCGTAATCAAAATTAATTTACTCAAGAAAACTATACGCAAACAAACATGATTGTAGACAAAATCATACAATCAAGTAAAAGTGATACTGAAATTAACATTAAATATTCAGAATTTGTTTTTCTTCTGTAGGACTCAAATTAAATTTATATATTATTTCAGGAATAATTAAACCCGTAGCCTACCAAGTATCAAGTATCAAAGACATGCATAATTTTTAAATTCTAACTAAGTAGATAATAACAATATAAAGTAGGTACTTAATATCTTTAAGTAAATTTTTAGACACTTGATATCAATGTTACAACACGATTGTCAATTAAATTGTACCTATGTAGATTATATTTTGGACATTATAATATTTTAACTACCTATACATATGTTTTTAATTTTGCTTATTTCTGTTGCTTCTCCTACAAAATAACTTTAATTTTCTTTGGCTAACAAAGCCAATTTTGACTGCACGGTTGGTGCGGTGGCTGGGCAACTGGTTGCCGTGCAACGTGTCGCGGGTTCGATTCCCGCACGGAACACCTCTTTGTGTGATCCACAAATTGTTGTTCCGGGTCTGGGTGTCATGTGTATTTGAAATTGTATGTTTGTAACAGCACCCACGACACAGGAGAAAATCCTAATGTGGAGCAAAAAAAAAATTTGAAACTATAAGTCCAGGCTTCACGATTTTTACCTTCACCTAAGCTTTGTCAGTGGTGTCTAAATAATCATAGAAAGTACATTATGTATAACTCGGAAAAGTCACATTGGAACTTGCCAGGTTTCGAACCCACAACCTCATGCATGAGAAGCGGGCTCCTTAAACACCAGGCCACCACGACATTTACGTCCAAAATAATTTTCTTAGAAAGTATTTTTATAAAGTGCTGCTTTTGCTATTATCTAACCGTATGGTTCAAAAGTTACAGATGGTACGCATTATTTTAAACTTCTGGACCGATTATTTCCGAAGATAATAATATTAGGTACCAAAACTGATCTTAGTAACGCCCTATTTTTTAATACCTATCCAACAACAAAAATTTAACACATTAGGATCAGGTTAAAAAATCACTCTTACCTAATAAAATGTTGTTTCCACTTTCTATTTCAAAACTTGGTCGGCGTGATTGATACCTATAGATATTGGTGCCAAATTTCATCTTTCGGACGAACTTGAACGGACAAACAGATAACCAGACATGGCGAAATTCTATGCGTTCCTAGTTGACTACAGAGACCTAAAAAGACCATGATTATTTCTACATGGTATTATCATAACTCACATAATAAAGTATTTTAAACATAACACACCTCTTTTGTTAGTAATCCTAGACAAAAACATGACTAAAAGATATTTTTGTGTCGACTCCCTTTTTAAATCTCGTGCGCTGATTGGTCGCCTACATTTTGTACAGAAGCCTATATAAATATGGCTACCCATTGTAATGAGCCTTTCGCCACGTAAACAAAACATCTACAGTACCTAACAATAATACATGAACAATAGAGAGCTACCTCAAAGCATTATTCGTGTATTAGTAGCTTTTGGTATTTTTCATAAAACCTCAAACCGCACCCATTGTTCTTCTATCGTGTCTCAAGTTAACACAATTAAAAGGTTATTGTACGTTTTCTTTGTAGGTAGTAACTATTTTTATTATATCTGAATGCACCTTTACAAATTGGTAGGCCTATACAGGTAGCTTGGCAGGTATTTAGTTGTTTATTAAATACTTATCAAATGAATAGGTAAAATACCTTGTGTTATTTATTTCTACTTTAAATAAAAGGCCATAAATACTACCTAGTAGCTAAGGTAAACAATAGAGGGCAAATGTTTTATTAACGTGGTAAATAAGGCTCAAGTCCAACAATTGCCACAGATACATAGGCTTTGTAACAAAAATGTAAGCGACCAATCAAAGTACGCGATTTAAAAATGGAACGGACACAAAAATAAACTTTAACTATGGTCTTTAAGGATTGCTTACAAAGAAGGTGTGTTATTTATCTACTTTTAATGTATTATTTCTTTTAATACGTTTATTACCATGAACAAAACTAGCTTGTTTCGTTGGTAATAATCATGGCATTTTTTATATAAGTAGTAGAAGATCACCAGATACTTACAAAGTTAAAATATGTTTATTAAAAAAACCTAACCTAATATTATAATTACTAAATGTTCATCAAGACACGACGTAAAAGTATTATAGGTACTAGTTCCGCCCGGGGCCCGCTTGGTATGTAGGTAGATAAAAAACATTATACTTATGATAAGTCTTTAAAACCCAAATAATATATTGAATCCCGAACCTCACCACTTATGTTTCTGTTGTATGTAATGTAAGTTTAAGTAGAATTAAGTATTTCCTACTGATCTCATTCCTTGCATTTATGTATACCTACCTACTTATTTTTTTAATTTAATGTTCCATTTCATTGTTTAATTATATTACAATTCTAATGTTGTTATAATATTTTTTATATAATTCTAATTATGTTATTGTAATAGATAGTTTCGTTCTTACTCTACTAGGTTATCACCACGATTTTCTGTTCTGTGGTTATCACTTTATTTTTAAGAATGCTGATTACCTGTAATTGGCGACTGTATAAGGCCAAAACCTAATGTTTCATTGTTTTATTTAATTTGCTATATACAGAAGCTGTTGGTGTACCTTTTTTAAATAAATAAATAAATAAATAATCCAGAGTATAACCAATCTACGTACCAAACTGGTCCAGCTGTTTTTGCGTGGAGGAATAACAAACATACCTACATCCGTACATTCTCACGAATTTTCACATTTATAAAATATAAGTAGGATAGGATAATTATCTAGTAGGATATAAGAAGTAGGATGAAGGTAGGTACTTAAAAAAAATAACAAAGTATCTATTGTGCATGTTCCTACCCTAAAATAACATTATCTATATAGGTAGGTAGATATAGGTTTTGTTTAGGTTCAGGGTCAAACTTTTCACGATTTTAAATCAACATACTTAGGTACTAGGTACATATTCTTAATTTTTCGAATTAATTTTCATTTAAGCAGTAAATTACCTAAGTAATTAGTTAACGAACCTAGTTTGAAATGATGAGTTCTCTATTATCTAACTAAGTAATAATTATTCGAATTGACTTAAATTATCCAAGTAACCTACCTAATGCGAACTATAAAGTAGATAAATAATATACATAATAGGTATTAGTAAAAATAGAAATAATTTCAGATTACCTAATAAGTACCTACCATGAGATTTTTAATACTTCCTAATAGATCGGTAATAGATTGTTTTTGTTCCTAGGATTCTTGGATGCGATCATCAAAATATTAATGAACGCAAAAAACCCTTGAAACTAACCTTTAATTTCGCAATGCAGTTCGATATCAGTAGTTATTTTCTAAGTACTTCATATCTAAGACTTCCGTTGAGGATATCTATCTTTAAATAACATGAACTTTATTGTAGGTAGGTTACACAGTTCTTACAATAAATTTATTTCGATAAAGATAGGCATTTGAAAATTAAATATTATCTACAACCTAGGTACCTTTTATTATTATAAAAGTTAAAACGTAAAACTTACCTTCGTTAATTGACGATGATAAAATTTGATCGCGATCTGGATCTGATATTTAAGTAGGTACCTAAATATTTACTTAAAAAACGTAAATCTACCTACGCAGTTATCATAGTTAAAAAAATACATGAACAAATTTTTTGTAACACAATAACATAATATTTTTTTATTTTCTTGCGACGAAATAAAAAAAAATAGTTACAAATCGCCAGCATTTTTCAGATTCACCTCCTTTGGCAAAATATTACAGGCTGCATTGTAAGCAGTGACATTAATAACAAAAAAAGTATTATTACTAACTACTAAAAGTACTATTACATACCTTTATTAAAAATATCTATCTAAAATTATCTCAATACTTAGCCATACATTTTTAATTTCACACACAAAACCAAAAGATGGCTGTTTTGCTCTTTATTTTTCCTAATTCCAAATTTGTAGGGCTACAACTTATATAATTTAATAATTAACTAAATATGTATTAAGTGCCTCAAAATGTGTAATTAAACTAATTATTATTAATTATCAAATTAACCATAAACATGACTTGTGGTCTATGAGTATCTGTGGTAACGATTGTTTTGTCCATGGTCTCGGTTACCTGACGGCGTAGTGACGGTTACCCTCGGTTACCTGGCATCTGGCATTTCACAAGTTGTCAGTGTTGTTCTGACAGCGGTGGTGATAACAAGTGTTCGCGATAACAATTGTGATCAGTGCAACTGTTTATATTTTACTTCATAGTGAAATTAATAGTGTAGTAAATCTATACTTTGAAAATAATTTATTTACTTTAAAGTAAATTAAATTACAGTGATATTAACAATGGAAACCGATAACTTAACGAAACAAGTAGGTTTATTTAAAGGGTGAATGTAAACCCTGTGATAATTTAACTAATCGTGGTATTTATTTACTAATTCCGTTTTTTCTAAACCTTTTAGAACGAAGAGATAGAGGCGTTAGGCGCTATTTACGGAGACGATTGGATTGTGGAGTGTGATAAAACGAGATCGTATTGCATAAAAATAACAGAAAAGAAATATGAAGTGGTGTTATATGTGACAATGCCAGAAGATTACCCTTCACAGTCTCCTGCGAATTATGAATTATCTGCTCCATGGATGGACAGACAAGAAAAAATAGCACTTCACCAAGCTTTGGACGAAATATATTTGTAAGTATTTTATGTTTTAAATATATAAATTAATTAAGTCTGTTTAAATTATGGTATGGCATTTTCTTTAATTTTTAAAATTAAATCAATCATTCTGAATGTACTTACTAAAAAAAACATTGTTTATATTTAAATTCTTTTAAAATTTACATAGTGCTTACTGTGATATGATACTCAAAAATAAAAAAATCCCACATGTATCCAACAGATAAAAAAATCTTTTTGCTTATAGTGTCTCAAGTCTTGCTTAAAATATTTATTTTAATATTGACTATTGTTATTTCAGAGAGAATGTAGGAGAATGTGTAGTGTTCCAATGGGTAGAAAAAATAAGAGAAGTTCTACAAACCATCAAACCAGCCAAAAGAGAAGCTAACAGAAAAAAGGATAGATCTAAATCTAAGTCACCTCCTACACTACAGCCAACACAGGTAAGATTTTTAATTTTATTACTTACTTTTGTGCATAGGTTTAGACTATGATGACTACTCACCAAGTTTTGAAGCAGTTTTTCTAGAGTGTTTAAGCTAACAAACTAGGTAATTCTTCAGCCAAATAATATTTGTTCATGTGTAAATTTCAGGCAGAAAATGAGGTTCCTGAAATAATACATGGTGAAGTGATAGTTGATAGAAAAAGCATTTTCCAAGGCCATGCTGCAGAAGTACATTCAGTTGAAGATGTGAAGTAAGTACCTTTTAAACTAATTTATATGTAGGAAATGGAATTAAAATCTTTAATTTTAAATATACACCATATAATTTTATTGTTTCTTATCCATATAATTTTTTAGTATAGTAGTATAGAAGTTTTTACATAACATTCTAACTCTAATTTCTCTCATAACTTTGTGTTTTTTTTTAAAAAAACTGTGCAAATTTAAACCTGCGTGGTATTTAATCTTATTTCTTTAACAATGTAGGAGAGAATTATAAATTCCAAGTTACATTAAAATGGGTTTAGTATTTTCTGAGATAGCAGTGCCTCGTCAATTCTTTCGTGCATCGCTAGGGTGGAATGCTGATACAAAGTTTCTCTATTATTTAATGAATATTTTGTGATACATATAAACCTATCTCTTTCATTCATATATCTATTAAAGATAAATCACCACATCAACGTTTGTTGTGTAGTTTTAAAGATTTTAGCATACAAGCACCTTTGATTTTTCACTATGTAATAGTACTAATCAAAACATTTTATTTTAGCGCGGTCCTGGCAAGACTGAAGATGAACAAGAAGATATCTAATGCGACTCACAATATGTACGCTTACCGTATCGAAAGGAAGACTAATAAAGGTGCCAGCATCTTACAAGATTGTGATGACGACGGCGAGGCGCACGCTGGCGGTAGAATGTTACATTTACTTCAGATTCTGGACCAGAAGAACACCCTTGTTGTAGTGTCCCGCTGGTAAGTCAATCAACCTTTTTAGTTTTAAAACATCATATTTATTCCCCATAGACTTAACAAGTTTATTCTATGTGTGTGTTAAATGTATTACTAATTAATAAATTTTAGTTATGTTATTAGTTCCAAGTGTGTGAATACCCTTTAGGTATTATTCTGAAGTACCTAACCAGAAACTCGATTTACTTTTACTGATCTAAAAAACGTACTTGTCTTGCAATTTCTAGTTCTACTTTTGTTGCATAGATTGTAAAAAACAGTAATTTTATTAAATGTTAAATGCTTTGTTACTTTTATGTACTAATACTTCCTTGATTATTTTACTTATTTTTTTTGTGTTCTATTATAGGTATGGTGGCATTCAACTAGGACCTGACCGATTTAGGCACATCAACAATGCAACTAGACAAGCTATTCAACAAGCAGGACTCTTAAAGAAATGACATTCAGCTTAACAATTAAATATAAGGTATGTGATAAATATTGTGTATTATATAGTGTTTGAGAATAGATGAAAGACTTGTTGAGTTGAGTTGTCTGGTTCTGGCCATAAAACTGAACATTTGTTATAAGTAAATTGCAAATTGCATAAAGAAAGTTTACACTTTCGATCAAAATTTGTGTTGTCAATTAGTATGAATAATTTTCATTTGATGAATTTTTTCTCTCATTTCAAAAATGCTTTTATCTTTTATTTCGAATATGTTCAGTTTCATAGCTCGACCCAGTAATTAGTGTCTTGTGTATATTCTGTAATTACTTTCGCAAAATTAGTACTGAATTTTTGTACTTCAATATAAATTTATTCTAGAGTCTAATTAGTTTAGATTTGACTGTATATTGTACATGATCTATTCTTAGTTGCTGCTACTATGTAGTACATTAAATTTGTTGTCACTATTAAAACCTTCAAGGGATCTTTGTATTTTTTTTGTGTTGGTCAATAATATTTTTATTTGTTATAAAAATACCAGTAAATTTTGTAGTGCCTTGTAAATAGGATAGTTTCTAACTAGTTAGATTTATTTAACTACTTAGATTTATTTTTTCATAAATGTCAATAATGACAATTTGCTTTACTTTAAAGTTTTTTTGAATTGATGAAATAGTAAACTTCTTGTTCTTGAGTTAATAAATAAATTACATGTACCATTAAATCTACGAAGTAGTTTGATTGTTATAATGTATTTTTGTGATTTTTAAAGTGAAAATAATTTATTTTGCCAGAGGAAACTACCTAATTAATTAAAAATAAATAAAATTAATAAATATTATATTTTAATTAACTTCTTACACACTCTATAGATTAGTATTGTAATAAAATACAACCTGTATATGGATTATACTTATACAAATAATTTTATACCTTATGACAGTGATATTATAGTCAACTTTTAATTACATAGTTGTCACCATGGAGGTGTTCAGGTCCAAGACTTGTAGCAGTAGCTATGTCACCTATTTTGTAATGAAAAGTCTTTTTGTGATTTTATTAGATCTTTTTTGTTTAATTTTTAATTGTAATTATTGTAAAATAATTTGAAAATAGTTCTACTTAATATGTGCAATCGACAAATTTGAATTAAGACTATTATTAATTTTGAAATTGATTTTGTCAAGATTTATTTTAATTGTATGTAAAAACTGATTGTAAATGTGCATATTTGTTTTAATAAATATAATTGAAAATATTACTCAAGCTTTACTTTGAAATATTCCTTTCATATTTAACACATTTGTTCGAATTTTCATCAATTTTATTATTGGGATCTGTAGTATATCAGATTGTCAAATGTTGCATTAGTTGTTAGTAGTATCTTATTAGTTTTTGGTGCTGCGTTTAGAATTTATCTTTGAGAGTGGTCCTTAATTTTGTGTTCAAATTGTTGTAACCGCAGAGTTTATTAATCCGCCCGCATGGTATGATAAATAGCAGGTTAATCCAGGGTATTACATCGCAAATTAGTCCAGCAATTTTTGCGTGAAAATATAGCTAATATTCATTCATACATTCTCACAAACTTTCACATATACTCCTAAATAATAGATTATTATTTAAAGACTCGTTGTTGAAGTAGGTAATGATTCAAATCTGTAGATTGTACTTTTATATTAATTTAAAAAATTCTTAGTATAATTTAATTCTTTTGTTAAATTAGACTGAAAGTAAGAAAGAAATTCAATTTATTATGTATATTTTAGTAGGGCTCTGTGCTAAAACTAATAAGTGAATAATTTTAGCTCCGAATGTCAATTTCTCGAAATAGCAACCTCCATTAACTTAGAATTTCAAATAGGTAATACAGTTTGTTTGCTTATTATACCTTTTTTATAGAAGTACACATATTGTGTTTACAGTTTGAGTTACATAACGACATTATTTATGTTTTGAATTGAAGTTATAAAAATCAGATTACGGTTTTCTTATGTATACAATCTTTATACCAATTATAATAATTAATTGCTCTCTAGCTACTTGAATTAGCCACAACTAATGTTGCCGTAGTCATAGTCAACATATAAAAATACAAGTACCTACATAGTTATAATATTATTACAGGGGTTATCACAATAAGAATATAATGGTAGCTGCTATGTATATGTATAGATAATTGTGATAAGTTGAGTAATTTCCGAATTACGATTCGACATTTTATGTAACAATACGTTAATAAAATCAATAACAATAATTAAAATAATGAGATGAAATTTTCACTGTAGGTACTTATTATATTCGTTCAAAAATTGTTTCGAGAAATCGACATTCCAACTGAATGCGAAAGCTTTCGTGTAATATTTGTAATTTTATTAAGATGATTGTAGTCTCCATGCTGCGATATTGTAAAAATAAATAAAACACATTGTTTTTAAAGTAAAATATGTATTTTGATTTATTATGGAGTATCTTAACTTATGAACTTTTTGGTAGACATTGTTTGGTAGGTAAAAAAATATAAGTAGGTACATAATCTCAAATATCATTATCACTGTCAGCGAACCGTAATTCTAAGATGTATCGGCTACGGTAATAGCTAAATGTAAACGATCTTAGCATGTTTTTTTATCTAAAAGTAGTTTCAAAAACTTATGTAAAAAATAACCAATCAATTAGCCAATAAACTACTTATATAAATTTAAATAATCCTTGTACAGCATATATGACCTCTTTAACATAAAAAGACCTACCAAGATCGTTTACCCTTAAACCCTTACCAACTTAACCGATTGACCATATTTAATAATAAACACATAATTGACATACGTAAACGTCACTACTATTTACGTTGCATAAGGCTTCATATGTACAAAATTTTAGGTAAAAAAATCACAGCAATAATTATCCGATTTAAATGACACTAATTAAAAAATTCAAAACAGTATTTGTGCCTGCGTAGGAAAGATATTGAGGTCTTTTTTTAAGCTAACATCCAATGGCTTCTCTCAGTTAACTCGTCTAGGGTGAGGCGAGAGGGAGTATCAGACTCTTCATCATCAGCCTATAAGTGCCCACTGCTGAGCATAGGCCTCTTCTCATACGGAGAAGGCTAGAGCATCAATCACCACGCTTGCTCAATGCGGGTTGGCGATTTCAAACTTATAATTATAAGTCCAGGTTCTCACGATGTTGACCGTCACCGTATGTTAGAATCTTAGTGACTGAAAAGTACCCTGTTATATGCCGAGATAGTAGATAGCCCTAACCAGTGTTTCATGTTGTTGAAAAAATAAGAAAATTAAATATTAACGTAAGTAATGTTGAACACGCCATTTAATATACATAATTATAAATTACAAACTTAATACATAATATTTAACTTTAATAAAAAAAATATATACATGATTGTCTCTGCTACCTTCTATTGTTTCTGGCATTGTTGTCCGTAGTTTTCACTGTTATGCACCTCTTGTCGAGAAACTTTAGCAGCTCCTGTAAGTAACCAACCATATTGAATATTATTAAACAAGTTCTATTAAGAATAAAACCTTGCAATTTTTTTTTTAAATAGAATACTGTTAAATAACAAAAAGGGCCTGTATATATAATATTGAACTTTATTTATATGAAGTATTTGCGACACAGTTAATATAACAGAGCTTTTAATATCATAAAATATATTCTTAAGGATGTGAGCAACCCTAACAGTTCACTAACGCCATCTATTAGGCACTGAGGCGAAAGAGGATCCTCTTTACCACCGAAGCGAAAGCAAGGTAAGTAAGTAATATATTATTATGTTCAGACACTTTTCATGGGCACATTTTTTTATGTGGTAGGACGCCAAACGAGTAATCGGATTACCTGATGGTAAGCAATCAACGTAGCTTATGGACTCCCGTAACAACTAAAGAGTAACGAGTGCGTTGCCGATCTTATGGGGACTTACAAAACACTATTTTGAGGTTTAAGAGGTTTGGATAGGAAGTATTGTCTCTGGTCAACTCACAGTTTTGTAAACGACCGATCAGACCAATGATGGGAATCAATGTGTGCCGCCTGTGAACGGAAAATGAGTAGCCGGATTTTTTTTGAGTTGTTTGTGGATACGCGCAACGGGAAAATGCGTTGCCGGTTTTTTGGGTTTGTAAACATTTGCGGATTGGGCGAATTTAGAACGAGGGATGTGGTGTAAGGTTTGGGCCTCTGGTAACCACACTCTAACGGCCAAACAAAACTCAATGGTTGTTTCATACCGGTTTTCATGAATTTATATTACTCCGGTTGAGCCAGAACATTCGTGCCAAGGCATGGTTCTCCCAGATACTTTCTCTCTCTTGCCTTTTGACTAAACATGGCTTTAGTCGTGTTTAGTTGGTAACTTAACGTGCTGAATTGATCAGACACCAGAAGATAAAGTAACCCTTTATTATCAAGTTTGGGAGAGCCAAGCTTCGGCACGAATGAGTGGGCTCGACCGGACAGATAGCACGGCTTCAAAGAAAACCCGCAAGAAACAGCCACAGTTGTATTTCATCGTGTGAATGAGATAACTGAAGGCCTATTCCCTAATTCTCCAAAACACTTATGTTCAAAAGGTCGGCAAAGCATCCGTGACTGCTCTGGTGTTGCGGTTGTCCATAGACGTTGCGGATTGCTTACCGTCAGAAAATCCATCGGCTTGTTGGCCGTTCTGTTACTCGTACATAAACAAACAATAATGAATTAGTTAAATAAAAAACAATAAAATAAAACAAGGACTCTACGCGGCGTGGCGGCTGGGCAACTGGCTGCCGCGCTACTTATCTCGGTTTCGATTCCCGCTCGGTGCAACTTTATGTGAAATTTTATGTTTGTAGGTAATCGCACCCACAGCCATAACACAGGACAAAGTCCTAGAGTAGGCATAAGTTTTTTTTAATACAAATCTAAATAATAGTAAGTAATAGGCTAGTTTGAACTGGTGTAATATGTGAAATGAAACTCACCTTAGGATCATACCGATGTCCATATCCGACCAAATCCTTGTGTATGACGTCAATATTGACGGGCTCATACTTGAGTATGGCCTCTCTTAGAGAGCGTCGACTCAATACGTAGTTATGGAATGCAATGTGTAAGGGAACTCGACATGAATGTACCTGTAACAGTTCAATTTAGATAGTAAATAGTGTGAAAAAACAGAAGACAACGTCTTTTAATTAACATATCTATAATTTCAAAAACCAAACGACTTCGAAATATTTGGGAGAGTCATGCTTGGCTCAACCGGAGTACCGCTCAAACAGAAAACATACGTGAAACAACATTTGTGTGTTGTTTCGCCGTGTGAGTGAGATTACTGGAGACCTATTGGCTCAACCCTCAAAAGGTCGGTAACAAACTTGAAACTCGTCTTTTGTAGCAAGTGGTCATAAGGAAATACAATCCCTGACAGGCAATTATCTGCCTAGTGCGAGTTTTTTCCCTTTTGAATCGCTTTCAAAAGGAATTATAAATTACGTTTGCAAGGCGCGGGGACACACTATAAGTGCGCTGTTGTCACGCCATAAAAACCCTAGTTAAAGATAACGTTTTAGAACTAGTGTTAAAACTCGCTCTAGGCTTGCACAATCCCATTACATTTTCGGATATTATCAGCTAAGGCGCGTTAAGCCCTGTGATTGGTTTATTAACTTGGAGCAGCCAATCAGAGCGTTGAACGTCATAAACGTATTGATACTTAACTTATAGGTAGTAAACTCGCCCTAGACACTCGGGTACGGATACTTACATAAATTCTTAATGAAAAGTGTTAATGACTATTTTTATTTTAATGTCCATGTTGTAGATGACTAGAACACACACTAGGACTTTCTCCTGTATCGGGGCTGCTGTTACAAACATACAATTTCACATACACAAGCACACAACACCCAGACCAGGAACAAAAATTTGTTAATCACCAAAGAGTTACTCCGTGCAGGAATCAAACCCGCGACACGTTGCACGGCAGCCCAGCCACCGCACGACGGCACGAACCGTGCAGTGTGTGATTAGATTTTTGATTTGCATAACCTGTCATCACTCCTGTTATGGTCTATCAGTATAGGTATTAAACTAAATGTAAACAATATTGGAATGTCTTTTTACCTAAACATTGTCTGAAAATTGGGTAGTTTTCTAGGTCGAAAATAAATTTATTCGACGTTTCAATACAATAACATATTGAAAAATGCCTATACTTTCATTCATCGATGAATCAACACACTAAATTTTCGATATTTTTTAACTAATTTTTAAGAAATAAGTACGCTATTTGACGCAAAAATACTATTACGTCATAACTCAGTGTTTCATACAAATTTCATAGAAAAGTATCGTTTTTGACATTTAGATAAAAGTATTGAATTCGACTAGTTGTAAACTACCGTATTGCACTTAAAAATGTTTACAATCATATATTAAAAAAAAAAACTTTGCATGTATTTTATACGACCTCTTTAATATTTAAAGACATACCAATATTATTTACCTTTACTTAACCACCTAAACCAATAGACTACAAGAGAAATTAATTAAGACTGACATAATAGATTTGAATAAAAACAAAATTACCTTAGCTTTCTCCCTTTTCTGAAACACCCAATCATCAGGATTGCAGTCTATTGTTTTAACAATCGCAAACTCATTACTCACTTCATAATCACAAACTTCAGAACTTTTTTCATCAACCTTCGAAGTAGGAGCTGATTGTATACATCTATCTCTTTCTATCTCATCACTGTTTGTATGTGAGCAGTGTGCTATGCCATTAAGGATCTTCAATGGAGACTTTTTAGGTATGATTTGGCTTGACTTTGTAGGCGATTTCGCAAATTTCTTCGGTGAAGAATCTTGTGTTAATGTCAATCTTGGTTTTTTACAAGATGGCTGGTCCTCGTCGACTAGCTGTTGTATTGTGGGGTGCATTTGATTATAGATATGCGTAAGAATTTTTATTGCTGAAATGTTTAATTAATTATCAATATAACCATTACCTAATTCTTTAATCTAGGAATAAGTAAGTGTACTAAATAAAATAGAAATAAAACCTCACCTCTTTTTCTTTTAAAAGGCTTCAACCCATATTTATCCAACTCTCTATTCCTTTCTGGTGTCGACATGGACGCATAATCCGCCATAGGTGTTACGTCACCAGTTTTAATAACATATTCAGACTTATTAGGCGTTTTAACATTAATGACTCCATTGGTATTAGCTAAAACATCTTGAAATTCTTCCGAGGTAATATCCATATTCACATGTAATTCAGTTTTGTCAATTCCTTTCTCATTTTCGTTTCCAAATTTGATTTCTGGAAGACTATCTACACCATTTTCATTGGCAACAGAAATTCTCTGACCAATTTCGCTTAAATTTCTAGTACCATCTAGTCTAGTGATATTGTTCAAAACAGAAATGCCACCAAAATCAAAATTGTCTTTCGGAAGTTCGAATCTCGATTTGTGGAGGGAATAATCCAATTCTTTATCTGATATATGAAAAACTTCGGAATTTTGACTAGTATTTAAAGCTTCATCATTTTCATCTATGATGTGTATGTGATTGTCTTCCGATTTCTGAGTCATACTATCATTTTTCTCATTATCTTTCAAGCTTACAGTGTTATAACTATTATCTTCAGTGTCAATTTCATCGTAATCTATAGAAATATCGCCATTCTTTCCTAAACTACTATTATTAAAAATATTTTTGTCACTTTCAATATGGTTCGATATTTCTTCGGTTGTATCTGAACTTTGAGTTAAATCAATATCATCTGTTTCTTCTTCCCTTAAAACATTATTACTGTCATCTTTATTCCTAACATTTTGTTCTATTTCTTTACTTATATCAGATTCTGAATGTTCATGAACAAAGTCTTCATAAAAACTGGTGCAAGGTTCATTATTCTTTGCCAAAACAGGATTGGAATCACTTTCAGCCTCCTGTTCTTGAGTTAAATCACACACAGGACTTTGTGCCCTATTTCCCAATAACGTAGATTGTTTTACTTTACCATTTGAGATGTAATCTACAGGATCAACTATTATTGTATCATCTAAATATGTTTGAGCATGTGAATCGCCAAAATTTACCGAAGGTAATCCATCCAAATCGTCAGAGTTAGAAGATTGTGTTAAATTTATGCTTTCTCCGGCATTTTTACCTCGAGCCTCATTATTGTCATCTATAACTTCCATGTTTCCATCTCCTTCATTGGAACTTTGAGTCAAATCTACATTGTCTTCTTTATCCATATTAATTCTTTCATTAGGAACTACTGTTACATTTTGTTCATCTGTAATATTTTGACTGACACTATCACTAGTTTCTTGTTCTACATCATTAGAAATATTTACACTTACCTTATCTAAATTATTGTCTACATTAATACTATTATTGCCTCCCCTAATTGTGTTATTCGCTTCAGGACTTTGTGTTAAATCAATCTCTTTCAGTTCTTCTCTAATAGGTTGTGAAGAACCAACAACACATTCAGTTATTTCCATAAAATCATTTGACTTTCTCTTTGTTACATCTTGAGACAAAAGGGCACTTTTCTCCGAATTTTGAGATACAACATTAGCACATTGAGTCAAATCCATATAATTATCTTGCGAAAATACCTTGGTTTTGTGTTCTTGCGACAAAATGTTTATAGGTTTGGAAACATCTATTATAGATGATAGTTCATCATCGAAAATATCTGGTGAAACACTCCTGCACGGCTCAGTAACTTTTAGTTTACTCTCAATATTTAGAACTTTACAATCTTTATTCTCAACTTTAGGGGATGTTATCTCAATCACATCACTTACGCATGATTCATCATTAAACAGCCTTTTCACTGGAGTTTTTGGACCAACCTTTTTGATAGGTGATTGCAAACCAAAAGCCTTTTCAAATGGTGATTTATTGATTGTTTCAACTTCATGATTATCATCAATGCTTATAATACTTGAATCCATTTTATTATTACATTTATCTTCATCATTGATTATAATACAAGGTGCATTATTTTTAAGTTTACTATATTTAGAATCTAAAATATCTTTGACAGATTTGATAGAACCACTTAGAATTACATCAAGCTCATTCTGAGAACAATCAATGTCTTTAAAATCCATTGTGTTTGGTGCTTCAGGCTTAGGACTTACTGGTCTGCCTGGGATCTCCGACCAGTCTCTTAGTAAAGAACCATTACTTTTTGATCTTTCTACTAAACTGTCTACATAGAATATACTATCATCTTTCATGCATTCATATAAAATATTTGATGCTATATGAAAAACTCTGGCATTCAAATCTTCACAATTTTGTTCTATTATAGATTTATCAAGGTTCTCGAAGAGTACTTGTGTATACTTGCTAGTTATAATTTGATGTTTTTCTTCTTCAGGCATAGTAAGGAGTTTATATATTTTTTTAAGCTTTCTAGCCTTTTTGACAGCAGTTATTTTGGCCTCAGGCACTTTAAAACCATATTCTTGTAATGTTTTCCTTATGTTTGCTACTCTTTGTTGTGAAGTCAAGGTTGATGTGTTCTCATTTTCATTAGCTTCTGTCTGTAGGGATTTAGATAATGCTATAGCTAATTGCAACTGCTCTGAATCAACATCAAGACCAGACTTCTTACAGACATTATCAAACTCTTTAGTGTATGCCTCTAGTTCATTTTTCTTCCCTTTCAAAGCTGTTCTTATGTCTTTCTGCCCTTTAATGCGCTTAGTTACCTTCCTAGTTTTAGGTTTACTGGGTTTTGTAACTGGTTTTGGCCCTTTACAACTTTGTTTAGCTTCTTGAAAGTCCGAAAGACTCTCATCCATATCAGGCTTGGGAACAAAGTATTTGCTTCAGATGCATTCGCTGAAACGGAATAGGAATGAAACAAATTATTTATTTACAGAATTATTTTTATTTTATCTACATTATCTATTCATAAATATTACCTATTATTATCTATACTCATAATCTATATTCCTGGCTGGTCTGGTCTTTGGCTTTCTTCCATATATTTTCGTATTGTTGCTGCTGAACGATTTGGAAGACCACTGGCAATCATGAGGCGTCTTTCTACCTCTTCGATTGGGTCCTCGTATAAGGGTTCTATAGCTTTTCGCAAATTGAATGTTACTGGAGTGAAACTAAAAAAATATAGGTAATATTATAATTATTTATTACAGTTACATAGACTTTATTGAGATTTAGATAAGTTAACTATAGTAGGAAAAGTGTAAATTGATAATGCAATTAAAGAACTAGAATTTGTCATGCAGACTGATCTTTGTTGCCATTATCACGTTACGTCATGACATTGATACTTGACGATTACCATATTTAAGTAGGTACCTAATTCTTTTACAAAAACAAACATGTAAACATTCGTTAATAATAAGACACCATAACCTCAAAAACAAATAAATTTATATTAAAAAAAAAAAACAAAATACATACTGGAAAATCAGTCCCGTAATTATTCCAAAACTCAATATGCTAACACCAAGTATATTTCGAAATTTAGAGGCTGGTGTACCAGCAATTTTTCTAGGTTTCCATTTTGACGTATCTACACCAATCGCCATGTTTTAAAATTTATCTGATTTTCCTGTGCACTACAATCGACAATGACAAGTGCCATTTCGTTCAATTCAAAGCAGGCATACATAAAACGGAAGAATTTTACTGTCTCCTAGATACAAACAAAAAAATAATCTTAAAGCCCTTCTTTTCCTCATTTGACTGATAATTTATTATGATTTATTTAGGTGTTAATCCTTTGATTCCGGGAAATCGTATTGTAGCACATGCGTAAAAAGGACTGTAGTAGGTAAGTAGTTGTCATTTCATTTATTGCTGCGTTCAGATTTTTAGAATTCTACATAATGTACATGCAGGGTACATTATCTTATTACTTATCTATTAGTTTATCGAACTTTAATCATTATGTTTTTAAAGCAAATTACTTGTATGGTGATGTAACTAGTGAATCCGAAATTAATTAATAAGCTTAATTATAGAATTTGCTAATTATATAGTTTACCTAATTCCTTAATGTGAACGAATTTACTAAACGATAACACTACAGCTGATTGGGTCATAGACCTATATAAGAAAAGTATTTAAAGGCGCATTTTAATTTTTAAGTTTTTAGTTTACCTACAAATTAAGGACCGAGTGGTTGTGTACTTGCAGTACACTCATTTTGTCTTCTTTCATTTTTCTTGTAATTCTTCCCAAAATGTCTTTATTACAAAACTTGTCATACAGAGAGTATCAACATGCTTTAGAATTTAGTCTTCACCGGTGTGAAGTAATAGCAAGATTGGCCAATATGAAGTAAGTTTTAAAACTTTTATCTTGTCATGTCTCGCTTAATTATATTTTTTATAACACCATATTACCTTTACTTACTAATTATCTCATTATTCCCGTTTTTATTTAGAAAAAAAAGTTGCTTTGAAATTAAGGAACGACCTACTCTACCTACCTGAAATATTCTGTTACAATTATTCTGTAGGTAGTTTTTTATAACAGATTTTTGATATAGAAGATAAAAAGATATTTAAGCTAATTTTGTTACTTCGTAAATTCTCCAGCCTACGACCATAAATCTTAATACTTGTATGTTATAAGTTAGACTTGTTTTAAAACTGTGATTAAAAACTTCTTATAAATTAGACCTATTTGTTCACATATTTCGTATTTTCGTATTATCCGAAATTTTAAAACAATTTTATGAGTACCCACAATTTTTAACATCTTACTTTCTAGGTATAAGTATCTATTATAACTCCATTTTTTAATTTATCCAGTATAGTTTATTAGTAATTAGTATTTTTTGTTATAAAAAATGATATTTACCTACTTTTAAACAACAACTAACATTTTACTTAAATTTTTACTCAATTGTGTAGTCAAGTGACATATGTAAATAACAACTTTACCTCCGATATACAGATTTGAACACAAGTAGTATTAAAAAAAGGGTTACAATTTCTGAGCAATTATTTTTTAGCAATAATTATCAATATTTTTATAATATTATGTAATATTAGGTAGGTACATATTACTATGCACTTGAGCTAAGCTATAAAATTGTTCAACCCTCCTAATGACTATCATATAGTGTAGGTACTATAAAAATAATTATAAATAATAAGTTTTAAATAAAATGCACGAAGTTACATCAAAATATTTAATTTTTCAGAATAACTTATACAAATACAACAAAACCAGGCGAGACCTTAATAAAAGCACTAGACCGTGCTGGCATTTCTGCACCAACATATAAAAAATTAGTAGCAGATTCTGCCAAAGTGAAAACTTTTACTACTTATTACAAACCTAAAGCAAAGATTGCCATTCTAGTGGCCAATGATAGATATACCCATTTATCTAGACTGGCAACCCCATCAATAGATTGTGACTCTCTAGCAGCTCTGCTGAAAAAGGCAGGGTTTATTGCTATCAAAATAAAGAATACTACAGGTGTACAATTGAAACTTATTCTGGCTAAGATCTTTGACCTGGTTGAAGAGGATTCTTATTGTAAGTATTTACAATATTTTTCTTTTGTTTAAAAAGTAATGTAGGTACTTTGTGCACATAATTAGTTTAGTCTAAACTACCAGTCAGCTTCACCTCCTATAAGATGTAGAAAAAAAAATCGTTAATAAGTTGTTTATGCTCGTATCTGGTCTTGTACTACCTAGTTGTAATATTGTGATATTACACCTAATATGCACGGGGCCCTAAAGGGCTGATGTTCAGCCGGGGTTGCGGGGTAAGCGCAATGAGGCACCGCGACTTAGAAGCAGGAGAAGGAACAGGGGGTTTTTAGTCAGTAAGAGTCTGACACTATGGGCGGGAGAAGTCATTTGATGATTTTCCCCTCTATGCAAATCACTACAAAACAATAGGTACCCACATAATTTTATCTAAGTGACTAGTGCGAATTTTCTGCAAGGTAATGCAATTGAAATGTTACCGCGTTTGTATCATTTTTTTTTAAAGACAATGTCACCTTTCTTTTTCTTTGACTGCTAGTTAATGTGATTGAGAACGATACCGCGTTTAGCTTTCTGATTGGTCGGCTAATCTGGAGCAGCCCAATCAGTGAGCTTAACGTTATGAACATGTCGATGTACTGAGACGTTTGACTGGCAACTGACTGCCGCGCAACGTGTCGCGGGTTCGATTCCCGCACGGAACAACTCTTATTGCGATCCACCAATTGGTTATTCCGGGCCTGGGTGGAATGTGTCTGTGAAATTGTATGTTTGTAAACGTACCCATTTTTAATTGCCCTCTGGTAAAAAGTGGAGACTTTAATTTATTTTGTTTTATATTATTTATTTATTTATTTTATAACTTTATGCACAAAAAAATTAACAAAGGTGGGCTTAATGCTATGGGCATTATATTACGGTGTTACAACTTATAAAGATTTATTCTTTATATTTTATCAATCTACCCTTCAAACCTATTGTTTAAATTATTTTTTTGCAGGTTTCTTCTTCTACGCAGGTCATGGTTGTCAACTATGCAATACAAAATGCATGTTAGGTATTGATTGCCCAACAGAAAACATTGCTTTGGAACATTGCGTTACTGAGAATTTTGTACTTAATGCGATGACCAAGCGGAAACCTGAACTGGGAATGCTTATCATGGATATGTGCTGCGTATGTTTGGATCGGTAATTATTCCTTTTTTATTTTATTGGACGGTAAACGATCAGTCGGATTATCTGATGGTAGGCAGTCAGCGCCGCCCATGGACACCCGTAAAAACGGAAGAGTTACGAGTGCGTCGCCGACTGAATTAGGGATTTGGAGATTTTGGGATTGGGGAAGGGGAAGGATTAGGCCTTCAGTAACCTCACTCACACGGTGAAATAACGCTGTGGTTGTTTCACCCCAGTTTTCTCTTACGCCGTTGTACCACTCCGGTCGAGCCGATCCATTCTTGCCGAAGCATGGCTCTCCCACAATTTAATTAACCATTAGATGTTAGACTGCGTCTAATAGGTGGTGCCAGTGTGCTTAGGGTCGGTACTTAGGTCCCTTGAGATACAGTTCTGTAATTAGCTACTTAATACGAAATGTGTCAAGTTTCTAATTATAGCCATATCTACTAATCTAAATGTTAATGAGACTGGACATTTGTATAAACGTCATTGCGTAATTTAATACGAATCATTTATAATACGTTGTTCTTAATTGATTTGTATTTAAAAATAATTAATATTTAGGTAATCAATAATAAATATTTAAGTTACCATTAATTACTTAATATTAATTATATTTTTATTACATTTAGATACAAATATTAATACTACTAGTTGCGTTATTGCTACCTACAATAATAGTTTATTTTTCTCAAAATTCCAAGTTTTAGAGCTGTCTAGAATTTTCCTTTGCCGTCTATGGCGATGTCTTTATTTTTTTTAAAGTGGGCGGCGTCAAATTAGCACACAGTCACTTGATGGTAAGCAATCAGCACCGAACTTTAACACCCACAACACCAGAGTAGTTATGTTTCTGATAATTACCTGAATGTCCCCTCTGCCTTGCAGACTAGTGTATATAGACTTAGTACCTAAGCACAGCCTTGTCCAATAAAGGAAAGTTTAGTTGGGTATAGTACATCATAAATCTATTTTTTACAGGAACGTCCACCCCAGCATCTTCTCCTCAATCAACACTGTTGAACAGTACACTGTACACAAGAATTTACTGGTAGCATATTCGAGCCAGTCTTCACAGAATGCCTATGAAGAGCTACAGATTGAATGCTCAACTACCATCAATAACGATCAGACATACGAGTTGAAGACTGGCGATACGGATAAAATAGTGCCCGGAGCTAGCCAATATGTGAATTCTTTGTGTACAAGGATAGATGAAGACTTGGACGCAAATACGCTGCTAGATAAAGTTCACGAAGGTATATTTTTTATTTATATTATTTTTAACACTGTTACCTAAAATAGGATTTTTAATAGTAGTGTACCTACCATAGGGAATTTTAGTATAGGTCCTAAGAACCCACTGATATATGCCTAATCTTATAATTATTATTATTTTTTCATTTTAATAGTTTAAGTATAGTAGGAAAACTATGCAGCCTATAAAAGCCTAGATAGTTTTTTTCAAATTGAAACTATGACACTTATCTTAATTTTTATCTTACTAATATTTATTGGATGTTACTCAATCATGCCAAAACGGCTGGACGGATCAGACAGAGATAGGATACATGCTGGAATAGGACATAGGCTACTTTTTATCAAATTAGCACGCGATCGAAGCCGCAGGCGGAAGCTAGTTTTTAATTTATTAGATAGGTATTAATTATGTTACCATATAATTTTTAAGAAGTTTGGAAACTAGCCTCGTTATAGTTAGACATTTTATTAATTTGATACCGATATTCGTTTCAGATGTTGAAAAATCAGTTAAGAAGCAAAAACCCACGAAAGTGCAATGCGGTGTTGATAAAAGATCATTGTATGATCCCCCAACAGGTTGGTAACATTTTTTTTATAGCCAGTAACTATCGAATTGGCTAAGCCTAGCCAGAAACATTGTATTGTAACGTCGTTATTTAACCATTATAAGTATGTATAAGTCAAAAATCTTTAAAACAAAGATAATTAAAGAATTAATTAGATTTTCCTAAGCCTAAAATAATTCCAACTATATATCTGGTCCTTGAAATATTTTAGAGAAATTGTATAGTTATGTAAGTTTTTGATCGGTAGTTGACAATAAATATTCATACGATTTCTCTTCATTTGATATTTTTTAATTTTATTCATATAGCTAATATTCTAATCTTACTTTTTATTTTTTCCAGGCGACACGCAAGCGCTACAAAATAGATTAAGAGAAGCCACTCAGGAATACAATGAATATTGCGTAGTCTATTAATTATTTTACATTATAAGGAACTGTATATAAAGTATTATTAATTTTAATAATAATTAATTGTTATTTACTTAATGAAATCATAGATATTTTAAATGTTAATTTAATGACTACTATCGGGAACATGTTGCAATAATTGTTATATTTTTATACTACAATGTTGTAGGTAGACTTTTTACTATAAATTCGAAGGTGCTTTTAAGCAATGTTATTCATTGCGAACTCTTGTTAATTAAGTTAAGGCAGGTTTAGCTTTAAGTTTTTATATTTTTGACATTTCTTCTTCCATTCTTCAGTGGGCCAGTTGTTTTCACCCTCTTTTTTATTGTTATAAGTTATACGGCTGTCAATTTAAACATTTAATTACTTTTAGACAATTTTTTACATAATAATCACGAATATATACACAGTGGATTTCATTATGGAGGGTGAGAAAAAGACAGTCCCATAAACTAACATCTTTGTACTTCTCTTTCTTCTAATTCTAGTCATAATATTAAAAGTGCTTTGCACCCAGTGGCCTGTTAGGTCAACAAAAGGCTTAATGCATTTCAACTAACATTAGTTTTATAAGAATTTATTAATTGTTATTATTATGAAATAACTGTGATCATGAAATGAAATAAATTGACAAGTAAACAATTCAACTGCATTTATTTTACACTGTCGGAAGCTCATAGTATTAAGTTTAGCAAACATCGGTAAAACGGGGTAATAAAATTAACATTTTTTGTTGCAATTGAAACAATGTTGATTTTTAATGGACCAAGTTTTTTGATCTTCTCAATAACTTATCGATTTTGGAAAAATATTGTACTGAGTAATAATAAATGAATTATTTTTTATCTCTAATTCCAAAATTGACGACAAATTAGTTACTCAAACTGACAAACACAATCCCAGTTGGGATATTGTTCCGTAAACCATTGCTAGTTTAAGTAATAAATTAATGTCTCTAATTACGGGAAGGTAGGCCGTAAGATCTAAATAGGATACTAGGTGTATTAAATCCTTGAAGTAACAGTTACATCTTATAACTTTTGTATTTGTTTTTTCTCATTTAATTTGAAAGTATTACACAATACCTAGTAGATAAGACTTCTTTTTATAAAAGTGTTACATGTATAATTTGTATAATCAATCAAAAACTATCAAAAACCACAAAATTGTTTCAGCTGCAACAAAGACTTGAACATTACAATAAAATTATTTCTTTATTAGATTCTGTGGCTGGAAGTGGTTAACAATATTAATCCACCAACTATCTTCTACTCCTTTAGTGAACTCCCTTATAAATCTGTAGTTTAGAATAAATATCTTGTCCTGGTATTCTGGTTGTACTCTGAAAAATAAATGGGAATGAAATTAATAATGGTCATTAACAAATTGATCAGGCTACTTCTTTGGGGTATAGAAGACACATAAACCCGTGAGACAATGTGTTTTTTTTTTTAACAATGCTCTACTGCAGTTAACATTGCAATGACTATTGTCACAATGCTCTACTGTACAGTACAGTAGAGCATTGGCCCTAGTGGGCCCTATCTAATGATCCTTAGAGGAGCATGAAAGAAGACAGGCCATACAACAACCTTACACATTTCAAAGTGTGGGTGATATGAATTGATTACAATTTTGTTTATAATTAATAGTCTACAATCAAAACTCCATTCTGCTCTCCACCGCTAAAAATAACCTTTTATAATCTGTCACTTTTTAACTGATAAAAGTTGTTATTTGTTTTCAAATTAGTTTATGCAAATAATATAGTATGGGAAGAGTGTGTGTGCTTAGCTTAGTGCTCATAAATGAAAAGTCTGGCAGCCAATAAAATTGAAAGTGCCTGTTTAACATGTTAAGCGCCATGGGGGTCACCGGTGACCTCAGTTTGCGGAGGATTTGCTTACAACAGTTTTCTGTCTGCAGCCAAAGACTTAATAAATGCTTTGCAATAAGTTATGCTACCTATTGTAGATGTATACTTACCCAATGGTGATGGGTGGTAAATCACCAGCTTCTTTCAAATGTCTAAGCCCCCTGAATACATGGTAGCACATTGTTATTTCAACCCAGCGTTTGTCTGCATCATCAAACATTACACCAACCTGGAATTATGGATAACTTTTGTAGGAATTTTCTTATCATCATCATCATCATCTACCTATTGCCTGTCATTCTTGAGTGAGTCTTAATAAGACTCAGTCATCTGTCTTATTGGAATGTGATTTAACTAATGAGTAATCATTTAGTTAATCTATTATTATCAGAACACAAATCATGAAATGGCATAATGCATAGTATACTGTTTTACTTCTTTACCTGTAGCTCATCTTTTGCCAGTAAGATTCCAATTGGCCATTTTAGACTCAGCTACAAAGCTTAATATTATACTTAACTAAGTAATTAGAAAAAGATTGAAATTCATATATTTTTCTTACCTGATATGGGAAGGCATAAAAGATGTCTTCTTTCTCAATGGACAGTAGCTGCCTTTGTGTGACTGAGAGCTTTGAAATGGCAGACTTTAGTGCCGCAATAGCATCCTTATCTACCAAACCTTCTAATGACTTGAAATCACTCTTTTGTAAGCATTCTGAAACAACCTGACATGATATGTTAGTTGCTTGTGATTAATTAATGAAGTAAAACCATAATTTGAATAATTCTTTAATAATATCACAACAAATGTTTTCTAATTAATGCCAAAGACTTTTTTTTCTTGGTTCAATGGCAACCGAGTCACCAATTTAAAGTTGTTGACTATACTGCCAGACAGGCCAAAGACTTCAACTTGTGCTATGAATAAAACAGCCAAGTTTTTTTAGCACTACCCTACTATTATCAAGTAACAATTTTGATACTGATATACATGTATGATGTATTGCTTGTTTTTCTTTAATAAAAAAAAGCTGTAGAAAATATTAGAGTGAAAGAGATAAGAGATAAAGAGAATTTGAATTTAGAGTTTAAAAAATTACTTGAATTTAGGTTGTAATAGACTTAACCTAGATTATTTATAGAATTTAAGAACAGGTTTCAGTTTTAGCTGTAAACATTGACATCTTCCATCTAATTATAGTTTTGGCAAACTCACTTATCAGAGTGTTGGATGTTGTTTTCAACTTTTATTTTCTTATTAGTAAGATTAAAATGTTGTTTACTTGTTTTTACTTATTTTTTCATCACTCATTATAAACATTTAATTAAAACAACAGCAGAGTACAGGCATATTATGAAGTCAAATTGTAGTAAGTAGGTGTGTTAGGAGTTTTACTTAGGTATTGAGAGACAGCATATTTAACATAGTTGTAGACATTTAATTAGTAAATAAACAGATATATAAGTACCTGAACAGCATGTTTTGATCCTTCAATGAACTCATTTAAGCTGAATTCTTGGTCAAAATAAGGTCTGATGATAAAATTAGCAAACATCCAATTCTTTATAAACTTGATAAACGAAGGCCACACGACAGGCGGGAATTCCATAAGCTGCGGTAATTTTCGCGTTTCTGTTTCCAAACGCTCCTGGCAGTAATTTCGCAATTGTATAACAGGACATGTTGAGGTTATGGGTATATGTTTAGATAAAGTTTTATGTGCAAGTCTGTCACATAATGCAAATGACCGCCTCGTTAAAACCCGTCTTATAACTACATTCATATTTTCTGCAATATATTACTGGTTAACTACTTTATATATTCAGTAAAAATGCTAAGCAAAACATTCAAATACTAACTTTTCAATTATCACCAAAACTATTTGTTTTTGTATCAACTGTCACTTGTTTTGTCATAATTTTGTTCCTTAATGTACTCGGATTGGCTAACATGCATTTTGACTTTGTCGCTATTGGCTGTAATACGCTGGAAAATAAGAAACAGAAAACATAGAAAAAAAGTGATAACGTTATTTTTTTTTTTTTTTTTGGAGTTTATAGATAGTGTTGTTTACAGATTCTAGAACTTGAAAACGGCGGTAAATAATACCTACATGTTTGCATGTTTACTTCTTTAAGTTTTTCTATCAAAAATAACCCAAATACCATATCATTAGAATTGGGGAGAGGCTTGAGCGCCTTCCGTCAGGAACTCGTGCGTTCTGGTGTCTCGCCAAAGCTATCGAAGGCAATTTCTGCAGACCATCATTCCCACCTCTGCACATGGAGGGAGGGAGAATCTTTGGCACACGACGCGAAGGAAAAAACTCAGCTTTTGGGTCAATTCTTTGCGTCAAATTCGGCATTGGACGACGGGGGACGTGAACTGCCGGTTCTGCCGTGGTGCGGGTGTAATATGCCGATCAGTGCCGGCGTAAGGGCCACTGACACCCCGACCGAAAATATCGTGGCACCCACTTGAGGGTAGCAATATCAAGTGTTACAATTTTGATCTGATACCAAGTAAAATAAAAAATTGCATATACACAGAACGTAGAGCACAGTTCTGAGGGTGTTTTACTATTTTACTAGGACAGGCAAGAGACTCCAACTTCAGACCTTGGCGCCCCCAGAATATCGCCCTGGGCCATCGCCCCATCACGCATGGGCTTCCCGAGAAACTGTGTAAATGGGTATCCAGCTTCCTAATAGACAGAAGCATAAAGGTCGCGGTCGGCGGTGAATGCTCTGATTGCTTGCCTGTGAACGCTGGCGTGCCTTAAGGATGCGTACTATCGCCCACTGTTCCTCCCTAACAATGATTTATTGCAAATTAGTGGCATTCATTGTTATGCGGATGACAGCACAGGCGATGCCTTTTACGCCGATCGTGCCAACATTTCTCGGAAAAACGTCATCGAGAGTCAAAACAGGCTTGTGTCTGAAATCGAGACTTCTTTCTCTCTTTTCTTCTTGAAATAATCTCAGATTGGGGTAGACTTAACTTAGTCCAATTTAACCCCACAAGGTCTGCGTATTCACAGCTAAAAACTGCTATTGGTCGTATCTCCTCAATTTCAGAGCACCCCCCTTACAGCCTCGGCCGGTATTGGGATACTTGGCGTCGACATATCGAGCGAAGTCCAGTTCCGCGGTCATCTAGAGGGTAGGCCAAGTCAGCCTCGAAGAAGGTTGGTGTGCTCAATAAATCGAGGCAATATTTCACCCCGGGGCATCGCCTGCTACTTTACAAGGCGCAAGTTCGGCCCCATATGGAATACTACACTACATATGCATTCAACGACGAGCTGTACGAATCGTTGACTGCCCTGTTGTCTCGGACCGGCTGGACTCTTTAGCATTGCGTAGTGATGTAGCCTTACTATGTATTCTATATCGGCTTTATCACGGGGAGTGTTCTGAGGAATTGTTTCGGTTTGATCCCTGCCCCATCTTTTCCCTATCGTTCCACGCGAAAACATGTTCATCCCCATCACATAGATGGTTGGCAGTCAACAACTGTGCGACTCACGCGTAACTTTCTGCCCCGCACAGCAAAGCTTTGGAATGATCTTCCGGCGGCGATATTCCCGAACCGATACGACCTTCAAACCTTCAAGAAACGAGCGTACTCCTTCTTAAAATGCCGGCAACGCACCTGTGACACCTTTGGTGTTGCAGGTGTCCTTGGGCGGTGCCGATCGCTTACCATCAGGTGATCCGTCTGCTCGTTTGCCTTCTATTCCATAAAAAAATAACTTACAGTTTGGTAAATACGGAAATACAGATATTGGCTTAAAGGACTCGTATCCAGGCCATAAACTCCAAAAAAAAAAAAGAAATACAGATACAAGCAAAGACCTTGTACTTAAAACTAGACTGTGCACCAAATTTTTTTGTTTAGCTAAAATGTGCTTTATCCCGTTATGTATAGGGTAGCTATTTTCTTAAAAGCGTTAACAAACTAAAACCGGTCCAGGCGAGAGGGCTCCTCACGGTAGTGTGTCCTTGTCTCACATCTTGCCAGCTCAACTAACCTTAGGGGTTGGTAGAAATGGTAGAAAATTAAATATAATTATGTTTTATGTTTTAACAAAACAAACAATTCATAAACTACAAAACGTATATAAATGTCTTTATAGTCCTTATAATTAATAGTCAATTTGCGGTATTATACGAAAAATCATTAATACAGAGTAAACAGTAGTACTTGAATGTTTGTGTTTGGTAACAATTAATGCAAGATGGCGGTTTGCTGATTTCGGGTTAGGGTAACAATGAATTTTCTCGATCAAAGATTTTCTTACTATATCGCAGTAGATAGGCAGAAGATACGACTAACTGTTTTTGTCCTTTGTGTCCTTTTCATTTTTTATTTTATTATTTTAAAGAACTTGTTAATACCAATGATATTATAAGTAAACAGGTGTAAATAGGTTATAAGCGTCCAGTAAGTGTTACATTAAAATGTGGTGCAATGTAGAAGCAAATACGAGACGTGTAAGCTGGACAATCGTCTTTAATTAAGTGTATATACCTAATAACTTACACTACATATGGGGAGAGATCTCACACACTACACCTTCCCCGTTTTTTAGAAAGTAAAAAATATAGCCTAAAATACATTATTTCTTATAATAAAAACTTAATAAACATTTACTTTACATATTCGCACTGTTGACAATTACTTATATAATAGAATTTTTGAATGTTTTATAGAATTAGATAAAGTAATGTAAAAAATAATGCTTACCAAGCTTGTCAGAAAACAAAATTGTACCTAATTATATTAATCTGAGGCTTCAACATGTGTTCAATGTAGTAAAGTATATAGAAAAACTTTTTTTGGTAATCTCTCCTGATTTACAGAGCTTGAATATAAATAAATGCTTAATATGATAGTACATCAATTCACCCCTAAAATTAAGCACCTTTTGCCTGCCCATCCAGCATCTGACGAATCCCACGAATTGGAACTGATTTAATGTATTGATAAAAAAAAACTTAAATTTAAGACATAAAAGCTACGGGAAGACTTTAAGCCTCAAGCATGTAGGAAATAGGGCTACATTATGACAAAAATTGCGTAAAACTGTATTGTTCAGCAATGTATAAAAATAAATCAATATTAAAAGAAAACAGTCTTTTTCATTCCACAATACTGCATCACATTCATTTGCCCTAGCACTCATTTAATAATAATCCTCCTCATCATCTTAGCAAATGTTATCCCGGTTACATATGCTAAGCTTTCACCTAGGAGCTTGCCAAGGTTCGCCGAATACGATCTTGGAGTGGCGAGTCTGATAATTACAGTAAAGCGATTACCATCTGACTTTCGTAGCCACAAGGGGAATCAGACAAATTTTTCGGATAATGGTTAAACATTCAGCCAACCTCACGGTGTATTCCCTCGCCGAAATCATCATTTTCCTGTAGGTAATATTAATATGAGGGTGGGAATATATCACTTTTAAAAGTAGAAAAAATTACTTTCAACCCTTACCCACGTGTACAGATTACTATATAAATACTTACTTACTTTACTTACAGGTTCTGTAGATTTAAAAAAGTAATTTTAACAAAAAAAAACGACTTCCAAAATTTATTTTTTGCTTTTTAGTTTAGTTATTTTGGAAGTCGGTTTTTTTGTTAAAAAATATTTTATTTTACCATTTTAAGTGATAGGCAGAAAAAGCTAGCATGCTTCTCGAAAGAGAAGACGACGGCTATTTGAGACCGAAAATCACGGTAATAATAGTCCTGAGTTAGTCAGCTTTGAATGCTGTAAATCGTTGAGGAATTCCCTCAAATGTCAATGACTTCCATCATCAGGTATACTGCAGACCTTCATTATACACAATCCATATAGGTGCAAAGTTCTCATCAATATAAATGAATTAAGTCCAAACAGGAGGTAGTTACTGAAAACCGTTCTGGAGTTCCCTGAGTTGTCTTTCATTCTCATCATCAGACCCTTAATGACAGTCACGACCAATCTTGTTGAAAAGTGCTTATCAATACGAATCATTCAAGCTCAAACACAAGGCAACTACTCCAAATAGTCAAGGAGATCCCACGACGGTCTTCCGCCTTCATCATAACGATTTACTGTATAACTTTATTGTAATTCATAAAGGTGCAAAGCTTCCATCGATATAAATAAATTAGGTCCAAACACGATGTAGTTACTGTAAAACGGTCAGGAGTTTCCTGAGCTGTCTTTCGTTTTCATCATCAGACCCTTACTGACAGTCACTACCAATCTTTGTGCAAAGTGCTCATCAATACGAATCATTCAAGCCCAAACACAAGGCAACTACTTCAAATAGTCAAGGAGATCCCTCGATTGTCTTCCGGCTCCATCATCAGGTCGAGTTCGAACATCGGCAAGTTGTAGCGTTGTCAAAAGCCTACTAAAACCACATGCAAAAGCACCACTCGTACCTTCAATTTTTGAAAGTTCTCAATTTCTCTGGTCTTCCATCATCAGATCCTGATTTCCTTATCATGGGACCATTCTAAAACTATCTCCTTGCCAACAAAAAAAGAATTATCAAAATCGGTTCATTAATAACGGAGATATCGGCGAACAAACATAAAAAAGCATAATATATATATGGTCGAATTGAGAACCATCCTCCTTTTTGGAAGTCGAGTAAAAATATACACACCTGTCACTGTCAGCTATCAAATTGGTGGTGGCAGATGTCAACTATCAAGCGAAAAAATCGGCTTTCTTATGAATTTCGGCGGAAAATGTTGTGAATTTACTTTACAATCTTAAAATAGCTTTTTTCATAGAGAAAAGGATTTTAATTTAAAACAACCATGGATGACCAAGCTTGTCCACGTTGTAAAACAACGAAATACAGAAATCCATCTCTGAAGTTGATGGTAAACGTATGTGGCCATGCTTTGTGTGAAAGTTGTGTTGATTTGTTGTTTTTAAAAGGTAAATGAGCATTTATTTGACTATCTTTTCAAGTATTATCTTAATGATACTCTAAAACTTATTCCATTCTAATTTTCAACACTTCACGAGTATTTTTTCTAGTTTACATGTTTGTAAGTCTCAAACCTTACCTTACCTTTCACATTCTAGGTTCCGGATCTTGTCCCGAGTGCAATGTTCCATTACGGCGAAGTAATTTCAGAGTCCAATTATTCGAAGATCCAATGGTTGAGAAAGAAATTGACATCAGAAAACGAGTTCTAAAAGACTATAACAAAAAAGAAGAAGATTTCGCCACATTACGCGAATACAATGATTATTTAGAAGAAATAGAAACTATTGTCTATAACTTAACTAATAACATAGACATTGTTGGCACTAACAAACGGATAGAACAGTACAAAAAGGATAACAAAGAAATTATAATGAAAAACAAAGTTAAAATTGGTAAGTTTTGTTTATCAGTTACAAATCATTCTAAATAAAAAAGTTTTACTTACTAGGTAATTCCAATCATAGTTAAATACATCAGCCAATTAGAATTTGGCATTCAAAACCCAGCATTTATTTTTATTGACAACATCATGTCAAATATGTAGCCATAACCATCTTGATTTGAATTATTGTTGATCAAAAACATTCATATTAGTATGTTTACTCTGAATAATAATTTTGCCTGTCTTTTTACCTTACATTAATTATTGATTAATTATTTTATGTTAAATTATGTCAGCCAATATCAATAATTGATCTTATTACATTATTAACAAGTTGTGAGTTTTTAACAAATTATTTTTAAAACTTAACAAAAATGCAATTTCAATTCAATGAAACAATGAAACAATGAAACAATGAACAAAATTATGAAGGTATGAGAATCAGGAGCAAATTTATTGCATACCTACTTAAATACAGGCCCTGAGTGTGTCCATTAAACAATAAAATAAAAATATATGTTAATTTTGTTTAGGCAATAGACTTACTATTAATATAATATTCTATAACAGGCAGAGAAGAAGTAGAACTAGAAGAGATTTTAGAAATAGAAAAACAAATGGAAGAACTCCGCAGAGCAGAGATAACACGCCTAGAGCAGGAAGCAAAGAAACAGAAGATTCGTGAGAAGGAAGCACTAATTGATGAGCTCATGTTTGCTGATGGTGATGCCAAAGATATATTAAATACATTTGCACAGAATAAGGCCAGTAAGCAAGAGGAGTTGGTTCCTGTTGTGCCTAAGGTAAGATAAAAGCCAATATTGTTTAAATTTTCTTAATTAATTAACTAAACCAATAGACTGTAGTGTCTTTTTGAAGGTCCATTTTCAAGCTATTAGACTGTCACAAGTGGTGTTCATGTTTATAAATGTGATGTGAACATAAGGTGTAGCCATTTTGTTTTGTAAATGATATTATAATTTTGATACATTATGTGATCTATACCCACTGAACATACCAATTAGACTCAGTCAGGCATTATTTCCAGTCCAAGTCTATAACTTAGACTGTATTCATGCTGACAATGGCAATTTTAACTTTCTGTTTATTGAAATTGACAACTAACTTACTTGAATTAACTGAGGAAATCTACTAGTAAAGTCAAAACGCGACGCTTATTCATGACCAGCATGTCCGACGCAGCTTTTCTCAATTAATTTTCGTGAGTGAGTTTAGTATGTCTCGCCATAGTTACTATTCAAAAATAACGTTTTTCTATTATTACCAATTTGATAAGACTATACATTGCACTGCAAATAATAAATTTGATTCTAATCATCATAGGTAACGCAATTCTCAACTGGTGTGAAATTCACTCGAGTGTCAACACAACCGACATTGCCGCTTATAGAAGAAGGGCCATTGTACAAGTACGAACCACTGGCTGTACCAGACAGATGCGGACCTGATCCACCTTCCATTGAAGATATTGTTGCTTGTGGATATCTGAAACACGTTAGGTTGGTATTTATTAATTTATTTAACTCTTAACTTGGCTTGCCTCTTTGCTTTAGTAGCAAATAAGCTTTTTCAATTTTATTGTTAAGTTGGAAAGTATGTTTCATATTTGACATTATAAGCCTTACTTTACTATAAGTCTTAACAAATACCAATCGTGCAATACGATACGAAAGAATATCATTAATATGCCAGAGTAATTAAATGGATAAATTGAACCATATTTCCGTATTTACAGAGCCGAAACGGAAACAGAGAAGGCCGGTGGCTACAAATCAACATTGCCATGTCTACGTGCTTTACAAGATGCGTTGGCCGGCCTGTATCACGCCAGCTGACCAGACGCGATCAACGCTGATACTGTTATAGTACTAGATTGAGATCGATAGATGGTGCTAGTGTGCTAAGGGTCTTTGATTGATGTTGATGGTTTATAATTGTTTTTTATTTTTATTTTTAGGGTCTGTTTACAGTTTGGCATGTAAGACCAAGAATAAACTGTGGTTTTTCTTTGTTTCTTAACTTGTTGCTCCAAGCGGGAATTTTTACGACACTGAAGCAAATTCCGGTCGCTAATACCGTGCCGTAAAAATGGTAGCTATACTATGTTCAATATAACTTTTTTTTGTTCTTAATATTGAAAAACAAATGTTGATGTCATTTAAGCACATTTTAAAGATATCAAGTTTTTTGGAACAAACTGTAGGTACTGTACTATTATCACTTTTCCCGCCTTGTGAACTCGAACGATTCTTGTATCGGTCTGCGTCTATGGCTTTTAAATGTTTGGAGTAATGTTAAGTTTGGGATAGTGGCTAATGTTTGCCAGAACGTCCTGCTATATAACATGAGATGCTTATAATTAGCGGAAGAAAATTTTACGTTTAATTTGTGAACACCTTCAAATTATTGGTGTGTTGTTATTTTTGTTAAACAAACCATCTTACATCAACAGTCCCTAAAACTACACTAGCGCCACTACTCATCTAGTGGGTATAAGTGTAACTTGTATGATTGTTAACAACAGCTCTTAACAAAACAGTATTGCGTTGAAATATGAAACTACCAAATGGGAAAGGTATGAGAAACTTATTTGTATGTAGGATATTAACAGCTTATCAAATCTCTAAGCTTAAATTACCATATTGTGTCGAACCTTAACCTGTCAAACGTTTATGGAATATACGGGTACACATTGAAAAAAGTTAGTAAAACGTCATCAGAAATTCCATCGACTTTTGAGAGGTTGAAAGGTATGCGTCTATGATGTTAGAATTCGAGATTTGAATATTTTAGATTGAAGAGGAAACATGTTTATTCTGCACTGCACCTTGAACCAAAAGTATTGCCAACATTACACTGAGCTTCGTAAATCTCAAGATTCTCAAGAAGCGTTATTGAGGAGGTCTTCGATGTTTGAAATATACATATTTTACTGAGATTGTACCTATTTGATTGAAATTGTACCAGATGGTTGGTCATTTAATTTTAATCTTTTATTGTGGTGCGATATAGGATAAATGTGTTACCTCAATTCTCTTAAGGATGGTTGTGTAAATACGTATTGTATTTAAGACTATAGGATTGTAGGTATTGAAGAAAATACAGAGAAAATTTATCTTGTATAGGAAGTAATAAATTATAACATACGACCCATGTAAACAGTTAAAAAACGCTCGACTATTTTCAATGTTCGCCGGGGCTTATAACGGGAGCTACGAGCAAATGACATTAGCAGCTACGCGATAGAAGTCCATAATTTTTAAAACGTAAAAGCGTATGTTTTATCATCTTCTTTCTCTTATATCTTCGATATCGCCATCCTTGTCTAATGATGTTTCTCTAAGAATGTTGCTAATGTAAATAAATGTACATAAGTTTTAATTTAAAGTTAACTTGGTACTTGTTTACATACATTGTCGGGTCGTTAGATGTGTTGTTGTGTTGTTATTTGCTGTTGTTTTGTGATAATTAAAGTGAGTGCGATTAAAATTTGTTTTATTTCCTGTCGTTAAAACTGTTTTGCCCTATTTGAAGGCCCAAGTGCTGTTCATATTCAGTTCAGTAAGTAAAAGTCATAAACTCCATGTGAAAATGTACGTTTTTAGCATTTATAGTCGGGGTTTATTTAACTTTTAACGCCATCTATCAGCGTGAATAAAAAGAGATAGTTCAGCATGTCGATAACAGATGGCGTCACAAGTGAAAAAATACGCGCGTAGAACTTGGTATAGAGGTGCTAAGTTCTGAGTATGCATAAAAAGTAACGTAAAAGTTAAAGAAAATATTTTAATTTTAAGCTTATTCATATGAATACAGAGTGTTGACATTACCACTAGATACTTTCTTCAGCAAATATAAGTATCTTGTGAAGTAAGTAAGCATTAACTAAAAGTTTTTCAACTTTTTTACGATATAGACAGGTGGTAACAAGCACCACCGCGCCGATAGATAATTCTTTACCGGGAACCACAAAGAACTAAATATTGTAAATTACTATAAAAGCAATGACGGAAATGTCAGATATTCTCAACATTTTATAAACTGTACACCTAAACTAAATCACCATTTGAAATAAAACAATAAGACAAAAATGTTACTGGAATGACAATTTAGGAAAATGGTCAGTTGTAACTAATATTTAGTACGGTCCTAGAATTGTGCATACCGATTTGATCAATAGGTACCTACAACTACTACTATTATTACAACTAAGAAAAAATAGGCTATTTTATGTGTAGGTTTCTGTCGCCTCTAGTATTCAAACAAGTAAAAAATCCTGATTAAATTATAGGGCTGATAGCTGAGAATTAAATGTGTAGGTTAATAGACCGCCAGATACATTATTACGTAAGTTATTCTTTTGTCGTAAAAATAAACCTTTTTTAAACAAATTAACGTGACGTCTCACAATATTTTTACACGATCATTTTTGATTCTACAAAAGAAAACATTGTGTCTAATGTTTTCCAAGACGGACATAAAAATATAAATATAAGTTCTATTTATTAGATAGTTCCATCTTTTTGCCTTTGAACTCTAAATTACCTACAGATTGAGAACCGCTCTCCGAAGGTATGCCTTGTGTACTGTAAGGGCGAGCGAGCAAATATTGTCGCACCGATAAAGTGTAAAAGCGCCGCCCGTCGGTACTAAACTATGACAAATATAATGCACTTTGAGTTCTAAAGGGCAGTGTACTGGCTGGACTGTGAAGTCAGAGGAAAAGTGTTTTAAGAAAAAAAAAAGAATTGTTTTTATTTTATTTAAGGGCAATACTTATATTTCTATACGAAGAAAACGAGTAGAGATAATCCGTCTGTGCATGATGGTAAGGGATCAACACGGTCTACGAAAACCATCCAATAGAAAAAAAAAAAACGATACTTACAATAATGAAGTATGCGCGGTGTCTGTTTTATGATACTGATCGCAACGCCCATATGCTCGTTACTATAAGAGATACAGGCGCAAAAAAGTATAGGCATTTACTGCAAACTTAAACCTGCCTAAGTGGTAGATTTATTAAGTAAGTTTAATACAAATCCAAAAGAAATAGGGGATAATAAAAAAATCGGTGCGTGTATTTTTAAGTAACTATTTTTATGGTTGAGAGCTGAGTTTTCACGTTGAGTCTTGGTCCGGAGGCGGCGTAGTTGTTCTCCTATTCTTATACACGAGAACAGGAACGCGAATTACAACCTGGCAAGTTTGTAGGTAGCAATGTAACTTTTCAGCGGGAGAAAGAACATGGTGGTTTTAGTCAGTAAGAGTTTGCCAATCTCTCTCGCCCCACTCAAGGTGTGCGAAGTTCTTTAATGTGATTCCACTTCGATGTTACCTACAGTTTGTCTTCTAGAGATTTTATATATTAAATGAGCCAGAAGACGTATTAGCCTAAAGTTTTTTAAGTAATATCTTATCTAAATAGCATTTTGCATCCCTAGTTTTTGGAAATGTTTATACTTGATACTTATTTGTATTATTTAGTACTTTTTTTGTTAACTAAAGGTTATACTCATTGATCCTTGCAATTAACTTGTGTAATAAGCTGTAATCACTGTGAAAATATTGATATGCTCACTTCTTAATTTTAAGTCTGTCACTATACGTGAGAACTTGCAATTGGCGTTTATGTTGGATTCTATTTTTTAATAACCCCCGACGCAAAAAGAGGGGTGTTATAAGTTCGACGTGTCTGTCTGTCTGTCTGTGGCATCCTGGAGCCTGAACGGGTAAAGCGATTTCAATTTAGTTTTTTTTTTGTATTAAAGGTGACTTACGTGCCATCGAGTGTTCTTAGACATGTTTGACGAAAATCGGTTGAGCCGTTTAGAAGTTATGGGGGGGTAAGTGGGGAAGGGTAACCGAAGGTCTGCAAATATAGTCGAGTGGGGTATCAAATGAAAGCGCACTGAAAGGGAATATTGATGAGTTAATCGAAAGAAAATGATATAACCTATAAAAAATAAATTAGACCCTGACAAAATATAAATATGTAGTTGATAATAAAATGTTTGGATCGGTCCCCCAACGCCACGATTTCTTTTAATTATTACTTTTTAAAGGAATATTACATTTTTTGTCGGGGGTTTTTAAATTTTAAATTTATAATAGTTAGATTAAGCTGTAAGTCCTCCAGAGTGTAATAAATAAATAAATTATAATTGGGCTCTAAAATATGAAAATGCATAATGGATATATTATGAATGCACCTTTACTCGAACAGAATATGAGCTTCGCTTGTCTGTTTGTCCTGTTGATAATAGACACCGAGTGGTCGACTCGTCGTCGTACCGTCACCTGCCCTAAAGATCGCAGGAAAACCAGAAAAATAAAACCTTGTTGTAAACTGCATTACCTGTACCTACATTACATTAAAATAAATCGAATATTTTAAAATATTTGAAAATGTAATTTTAATAAATGAGATTCATATTGAATGTTTTTACTTAATTTTTTTGGTTTATAACTAAAAGAGGGCGCTGTTTTAAAGTACGGGCGATGGTGCTTATAATAATAATAATAAGAAAGCCCGCAGGGCACCTTGAGGCGAGGTGACGGGAATTAGCGATCCCGATTGCTCCAGGGAGAAGTCACCGTTCCTCATCTCCGGCTTGCCTTCATTGGCTGGCCGGAGTCGACGATGACGAGGAACAGGTCTCCCACCTCTGGCTTGCCTTCATTGGCCGTCCAGAGTGGAGTCGCGAGAGTAGTGATCCTGCTCGGAGGGTAGAAGCTGTTCGTAAGCGGCGAGTGGGCCAGTGATGCAGGATGCTTAGGCAGATGCAGATGATCTGAGTAGAAAGCTGGTGGCAGTTTCTTCACCCTTCAGCCACTCACATATCCGTTGTCCCTCTGTTGCTATTACTAGCAACCATTCCCGGGGGCCTGGTCGGTGAGTTGGCGAGTCTCCACCTGCCATTTTTACGTGTATAAATTACATTGTTTCGGCAGGTGCTATAGTCCTTCCATAGTTCCCATCCTACTAGCCCATAGCAATCCATCCGGGGACTGTCCTTGGGTGCATTCCCATAGTGCATACAGGGATAGTCGCCGGTATGTGTCCCATTTCATTTAGATTAAATTTGTCTAAAGGGCCTCTGCGCAGTTGGCTCCGGCCCCTCGTACGCCTTCCAAATGACCGGGACCCTGTGGTCCCGTGATTGGTAAAGACATACAAATAATAAGAAAAATTACTTTGATTTCGAAAAATAAATATAGGAAAAATTTATAGCAGACAGGTAAGATAGCTATGTTTTGTGTATCCTGTGGCTGGGTCTGGATTGAGTGGAGAGCTACGGTACCTACACATAATGTATCAGTCAATTTTTATTTTTATTTAAAAAGCACATTAATACATGAACAGTCTACGTAAGTATAAATTACACACAAACTTAACAAAACTCAACGCTCCCAATTAGAAACAAAGTGCAAAATCTTTCCCAACGGATTTATTAATTAGCTAATAATGGTGTATGTTAGCGATACACGAAATAAGGCTGTGTATACAAGAGACGCTGTAAACAGACTAGGTAGCGTGCACATGGTAGCGTAGATACAATTAGTTAGTGAAAACACCGTGGTCGCCGCGGGGTTGGTCTAATTGGTGCTGTGTAAACTTGCCCTGTTATCGGGGTGCCTCGAGCTGTGCCGTGTGTGTGGAACTGGCTTTTGTCGTGTTATTATTTGGGAGATTTTGTGCTTGAGGGATTTGAAATTCGAATAATATCTAAATTGAAATAAGGTAAGGGAAGGGAAAATGTACTTAATTAGTTGTTGGTTATAGTTTAAAATAGAATAACATATGTTTAGACGGTAGGTACTAAAATACAATGTAGGTAAGTACCTACCTAATAAATATTAAAAATACTGTAGGTAACTAGGTATAGATATTTTTGAATAAACAGTTGTGCTAGGAATTAGGAAAAGTCCTTCTAACAGTACAGTACTCCAGTATTGATAAACAATAAGATTTTGATAACATAGACGAAAAATAATAAAAACAAAATATTTTTCATACCATGAAAGAAACTTTTCATAGCTCCACTACCTAGCTAATTTAACTTTAAATTAATCTCCTGTAAAAAAATCATTAAACGTAATAATCCATACCCTCCTAATTTTAACATAATACCAGCTAAAATTATAGAACCAGAAACAGGAGCTTCTACATGAGCCTTAGGTAATCATAAATGAACAAAATATATAGGTATTTTAACTAAAAAAGCTAAAATTATAGAAATATATAATATATAAATATTTATATTAAAAAATTTTAGAAGATAAAATATTATATAATCTCCTTTATTATTTATATAAAAAATACCAATTAATAAAGGTAAAGAAACAAATAAAGTATAAAATAATAAATATATACCAGCTTGAATTCGTTCAGGTTGATAACCTCAACCAAAAACCTGTCATTGACTCAAACAAAAATATCAACTTTAAAAAATTAAAATCAAAAGTCTGTCTCCATATTA